TTTTTTGCCCATAGACGCAGTACCCTGTATATAATTCAAACAATGTTCGAAATAGAGGATAGATAGATAGATAGATAGATTCATTTATTGACTACGTTTCGTACAAAAGGGACGTACAATTGCAGCAAGTCAGAAGTGATATTCAAGTGCAATAAAATCAAATTAATAAATAACATAAAAACACACATCTAATACAAACAAAATTAGACAGTACTATACAGTTTTATAGCGCATCGATACCAGTGACAGTGTCAATGTATGCTCGCAGGGAGTAAAAACAATGACGTTGCAGGAATTCTTTAATAGTATGTTTAAATTTTCTATTGCTCATCTTTTTCACGGTACCTGGCAAAACATTATACAATTTCAGGTTCAATGAGTTGTTCTCAGACTTCCTCAGTCTAAACCTAGGCCGTCTAAGGAGATCCCCCGAACGAGTTGGATAGGCATGGCAATCGGAATTAGCGCTAAGGTTTCCTTTCGTTCTCTGTATCTCTAATAACTGGTAGTAGATATAGATGCAAGGAAGGGGCATCACTTTGAATTTTTTAAAATAAGGTTGACAATGGTCCTTATATCCTATATTAGCAACGACTCGAATGGCCCTTTTCTGCATTCTAAAAATCTCCACAGCAGCTGAGGAATCACCCCACAGTACCGTGCCATAGCATAAGTGTGAATGCAAAAAAGAAAAATAGACCATAAGCAGAGTCCTTGTTCCTATCAGGCCTCTCAGTCGTCGAAGAACGAATATGTTGCTAGACAATCTATTTTTCAGGTCTGAGATATGTTGTTTCCAATTTAGACTATCATCGATCCTAATGCCAAGCAACATGACGGACTGTCCACTATTTACCAAGCAATTGGAGGAAAACACAATACTCTGGGTCTTGTCTAAATTTAATTTAAGATAATTATTTTCGAACCAGACATTAGCCCTGTCCTCCAACACGCCAACCCTAACGGACAACTCCTCGATACTCTTAGCAGATGTAGTGAAGGATGTATCGTCGGCAAACATCACGCACTGATTGGGGGTCAAGAAATGATAAAGGTCATTTATGTAGATTGTAAATAGTAGCGGACCCAGGACCGAACCCTGGGGCACCCCGCTTACTACTGATTCAAGTGATGAACGGTCATCCTGGTATTCTACAAACTGCTGTCGGCCCTGCAAGTAGGACGCTATAAGATCTAAGCGCAGACCTCGTATACCATATCTGTATAGCTTTTTAATAAGAAGCTGGTGAGAAACACAGTCGAAGGCCCTGGAGAGATGACACAAGGTCAAACCAACTAATTCACCCCCTTCGAGGCCCTCAACTATCCCACTCACAACTTTAGACACTGCTTGGATCGTCGAACACCCTGGATCTCCCTAGTTTCCTGGTATCCGAATTTTTCCAATGGGGTGAATGGTTTTCAAAAAACTACTTGTTTTCTGAAACCATGCAGTACGTGGTGGAAATGGTGATTTCATTTAAAATATCTCGAACAGCGTATGTGACAAAAATCGTAAATACAAAAATTGTAGCCCTTGATATGGCCCATAACACTGTTTAAACGGATAAGCTATTTTTTTTACGAATTTTGATTTACGGTTGATAATTAAGAACAATTTTCAGGGTCTTTTAGATTTTTGTCAAAAACTAAAACACCTTGTATGTAATGGAAAAAATGCGTAAAACAAAAGTTATGGCGTTGGGTCTCTCGCGTATTGCAATTGTAAATTTTTTCCGATCAGATGAATGGTTTTGAAAAAATAAATAAGAATTAAAAGTTCAGATTTTCACGAAATTATATATTATGACATGAGAATTAATTCGACAACACCATGTCTTTATCAAATGTAATATTTACATACTACCTGCTACTATATATACCGAAAAATGACCATAAAACCTTAAATAATGTTGTTGTGAGAATTTAAGTTCAATAAACGAGAGGTATTTAAATCTAACTGATCGTTAAACAATACATTTGATTGTCTCATTTTGTTAATCTCCATGGCTTCCAATAAATTTAATTTTCTACTTTTTGCGGCTGTATGTAAAATATCAAAATTATCGTCAGAAATGTGATTTTCTGTGTTTAAGTGTGTAGCATAATTAGAATGTAGACTATTGTTTTTAAACGCTCTTTTATGTTCGTTAATGCGTTTCTTGAAGGATCTACCTGTTTGTTCAATATAAATTTTAGGACAAAAACCACATTTCAACCTGTAGACACCTGATTTTTGGGATTTTGGACATTTCGTTTTATTGTTTTTTAAATATTTTCCTATTGTGTTGTTAGTTCTGAAAGCTATTTTTCAACCACATCTTGACAAATGTTTTGAAACTTTTTCACTAGGTTCTCCTATGTATGTAATAATTTAAAATTATTCGTGTTCTGTATTAGGTTTCGGATAAGTAGAGTTTACTGTTGTCTGTATTTGTTTTTTATTAATAATTTTATCTATAATGGACGGATTGTAGCCGTTGTTCAGTGCAATTTGTTTAATGATATTAAGTTCTTTGTTGTAATTTTCTATTGAGGGTGGCGTATTAAGAAGTCTGTGTATAAAAGCGTTAAATGCAGCCACTTTGTGTGTATAAGGGTGATTTGAGCTGTTATGTATGACTGTGTCCGTGTGTGAAGGTTTATGATATATTGAAAAATCTAATTTGTTTTGCGCTTTCGTAATAGTTAACTCTAAAAAATGATTAGAGTAATCCTCTTCAATCTCGATAGTGAATTTTATACGATTATGTAATGGATTAATGTAATTTAAAAAAGAATTCAATTGTCTGTCCGTTCCAACAAAGCAAGCAACGACATCATCCACGTATCTATACCACCATAAAAAACTTTTACTTAAAGGATGTTCTAGTATAATATTTTCCAAATTATCCATAAAAATCTCAACAAAGGACTGGTTTGGGAGGAAAAGATTTTTTTTTGGATGCCAAAAAAACAAAACAAGAAAAAATCAAAAATTAAAAAAAACTTGGGTTTATTTTATTGCTCCCAATTTAAAACGCCTAAATGCGGGTTCAGACTTCTACTTCTCTCTTAAGTTTGAAGTGGGTAGCTGCAAATTTGGAGTACTTATTATGTTTTTTAATATTGCGCGGAATATCGCGAACACCCTGTACAATACTTAAAAACCGTAAATACAAAAGTTTAAGCTGTCTATATGGGCTATATCGTCATGTAAAAGAAACTGACATCTAAAACACAGATTTGAAATTATTGCCAATTTTCAATAATAGGGGGACCCATTTTTCAGTTTTTTTGAATTTTATATTTTTAAAAAATTGTTAAGAATACAAGTTTATGGAGTCATAGCAAGGTCCAAAAAACAGTCGAAAATCGCGAAAAAAAGATGGATACCGGCGTCGGTTCAGTGCCTTTTCTTATAAGCTTATGTGTCTTGTGGAGGGTTAAAAAGGTTGCAAATTTCAATTTTGTAGTTCCAACGGTTCCAAAGTTATTCAGGGAAAACCAAAATACGAGAACGGAAAACGGAGAACGGACAAACAGACAAAAAAATTTTTTTTTCGACGGTGATCGTTTCTGTACCAACGGCGATCCCATAGGACTTACCGTTACCGAGATACAAAAAACCGGAGAACTATCGATCGGTAACAATTTCAAATTGTTTTTCCAAGGTGATTGAGTATGCTTTCTTAAAGAGATTAATGTATTTTGTAGATAAATATCACATGACTTCAGAAAAGATAGAAGCACTCAACTGCTGCTTGTTATTTTCGAAAAATCGATGAAATCGAATTTTTCGAAAGTATACGCGCTTGGCAACGAAACTCATATAGTAACGGGAGGTCCTAGGGGACCCCCATTACCTTTTTTTTTTAAATTTCTGCTCTCCGCTCTCCGTTTCTCTATAGACCTGGTATTAATTGACTATATCTTCTGAACGGTTTGCAGCACGGCCTTCAAATTTGGCTCCTTTTCAGCCGCGCACGAGCTACACAAGCCAATAAAAAATGAGTCCGATCAAACCACGGCATCCATTTTTTTTAGATTTGCGACATTATAAGTGTCCAAAATTTGAAACTTCAAACTAATCGGACGAATAGCGCTTGGTCCCCTAATGGAACCTATTGAAATTGGGGAGGGTTGGGGGATCGGGAAGTATTTAAAAAAAAAACCGCGTTTGCGAGGAACCAAGAAAAATATCATTTATCCAAAACCGTTAATGCAACCAAAATAATTCCTGAACGAGAAGACGCACAAGATTGGGCTTCATAAACTTTTATTCTTGGCACTCCATCATCCGCAAAAAGCGAAAAGTAAGTATGGGGGGAAGATGAAAACACATCATGAACAATAAAGGATCAAGTACCCTCGGTACACCGAAATTCACTGACCTGGAGTCAGAGACGTATTCAAATCGTAAGGTATCTCGTAATTTGACCAACTGCGTACGACCACCAAGAAGAGACCTTAAAGCTTTTCCACTAAAATATCAACATCGATCAAGTTAGATGCTTTTTGTAACCAAAGACATGCTGTTTGCTGCCTCTCTTCTAACCTGCCAAGAATATGCTTATATAAAGAGAGAATGGCATGTTGCGTGGATCGCTTTTTTCGAAAACCAAATTGCATGCCGGAAAAAAGTTCTCGATTTTCCAAAAAATTGGAAAGTCTTGAATGCAGCTCTATAATTTGAAATAATAACTAACTATAGCCAGGAATTTGCCAGCCGTCCATTTTTTTAAATATATTTCGCAACCCCGATGACACGTCATTTTCGTGTTACGTGCAGAAGTGTTAACCGATTCGTATCTCGAGGCCGAAAATCGAGCAATTTCTCATCCCGGGAGCGCGAAGGTGAACGTAATATCTCATCCCGTTCCTAGTCGACGTCACGCGAACCCCTCGTTAAACCGCTTTAGGTCCGTTTCGACGATCGCTTGCCCATTACGAAGGTGTTTAATAGGCCGTCCGCGAACTTTAACGCCGAGATTCGATCGAATCACGAACCGTTCGCTTACCTTGAAGCCCGAACATTTGACTAGGTGCTTTGCTGTCGCTCGCGTTCGCCATCCAACCGGAATACATCACAGGATTGCCCGGATTGCTCTGAAGCTGGAACGGCAAAAAACCGAGACCCGCCTGATTGCCGCCCTCGTGACTGGCTTGGTCCGACTGGCTCCGACTCGGATTTGAATAATACTGAAGCCCCAACAGGGATTGGTACAGATTTCCTGCAACAAAACAGTCTCTCTTTAACATTCCGCGCTTTCTGACACCCAGGGCGCATCTAGATCACGTAGTGCGCTTGTCGAATCGCGTAAGTCGCGGTCTAGGAGACCTACGTGACGTAATGCGAAGCCTCGTACCTGTTCGCGAGGCCGCACTGACCGGAGTGGGTTTGACGAACCGCGTCCTCGCGTCGCTGTCATAGTCGGCGTCGTCGGAGCGTAATGGACTTTTGTTCAGTCCCAGGATGTTGTCGATCGAGAATTTGTTGCCGTTCGTCCTGCTCGATGTTTTGGCGCAGTCGTAGTCGCTCTCCTCGGTGTTTAAAACGTCTAGGCTGTCGCCGGAGTACCGGGTGCTGTCGCTGTCATCGGTGTCGGCGTTATCCATGATGGAATTTGTACGTATGTTCCGCTGTTTGAAATTTAGGGACGGTCAAATGAAAAGCGAATCTTAAGTACAAGAAAATAATAAAACGTTCATAGGCAGTTTCAAAATTCACTAGAACTTATATCCCAATAAACGATGTCCACGCAAAAGCGATTAAAATAAATTAGTTTCATCTCTATTTAAAGCTTTCGTCAAATAAAAATGATTCCTAGTTTAGGCGACAGTGATCGTGACACTAGCCCTAGCTATATGGAATACTGTTTTTAGTTTTGGGGGGTTTATTATTTATTTATCAACGGGCAAACCGCTCAATATAAAATAAGATTCATATAAACAAAATAGTAAAAAAAAATAAAAAAACAAAATAAATAAAACAGTAAAAAAATGGCGCATGCGACGAATCTGGAGAGAGATTTCCAATTTCGAGTAATCGACGTCTACAAGTCCTTGGTACTTCTTAAATACTATATACCGCAGGAACCTATGCTGCACTCTTTCTATGGCCTGTATCTGGACGCTCTATGAAGGTGACCACACACATGAACAGTAATCCAGATGTGGACGCACGAGAGAGCAGAACAGTAATCTGAAAGACGGGATACCCTGGTAGTTCACTGTATAATGCTTAATAAAGCCCAAAATTTGAAGTTATTTAGACACAATAAATGAAATATGGTGTGTGTAAGTCAATTTAATAACAAGTAACATTCCAAGGTCCCTTATTATTATAAAGTATTTAGCTTTTGCTAAATTAAATTAAAACTAAATTCATTAGTTGGCATTTATTAATATTTAGTTCCATTGCATTGAAATCGCACCATAGCGATAGGTGATCTAAATCGGATTCTAGTTTTTATACAGTCGTCAGTATTTAATAAAGTAATAGGAAAAATGCATGATGAAAACGTGAGGCAATATCATTCACATAGATATTGATTAGTAAGGGTCCCAGGTGCGAACCTTGCGGAACACCAGAAGGCACTTTAATTTGGTGGATTGGACGCGCACAATCTGCACTCTTTCAGTAAGGTTTTCCCTAGATTCCAAAGTTTTCTCAATATTTTGATTAAGATTTGATGATTTACTTTACCAAATGTCTTTGAAAAGCATGTGTAAACGGCATGACAGTGAGACCCTTCTTCCAATGATTCCAGCAAAACATCTGTAAATGTAAGCAAGTTTAGCTCAGTGGAGCGATGAGGGAGAAATCGAAATGGTTGGTCGATGAAACATCCTTTCAGGCCAGCAGATAAACAGTCGCAGACAAAAGTTTCGAGCACTGTAGATATACAGCTCAGGATACTGATGGGCCTGTAATTGTTGACTTGTGAGTTATCTCCCGATTTAGGAGTAATGAAGCTTGACGTCCAGTAAGTTGGCAAAGTTCTCGTTTTTAAAGTTTAGTTAAAGATAATATAAATTGGTCTAGAAAGTATGAAGCTGCAATGATTAATAAAATATGCTTTTTGTATAGAGTCGACAGTTGACAAAATTCTCAAGTGTGAGAGGCTGACGTCCCCAGAAGGCGCTGCATCTTCAGAGACACAGTTCTTGTCGCTATACGTGTTCGTAAAATAGTCCGCAAATAAATTGACCCACAGAACAGGTAACGGCGCCAAAGTGCACAACCGATGGAATAAAGTTCCTTGCGTTTTTACTGTTAACGAACTTCCAAAAATTCTTAACGTTTCTTTTAAGAATTGGGTCAGAGATATATATTCCTAGTAACATTGAACTTTTAAAGATTTTTAAAAGATGTCGTTTATGGGATTTCTTCTTCTTATTCTTAAAACCATTTTCACGTTTTACATGTTGTCGCAAAAGTGCGAAATATAGAAAGCTTAATTTTTAGGTGAAATCCGCGGGATTTGATTGTGCGGTCAAAATATTGAGTTTTAATAATGTTTCTGATACCCAAAACCTTAAGATTTTGTTTGAATAATTTAAATGTCTTTAGTACTTAACAATTATTTGAGTGTAACAGCAAAACAGTAAAGTGTGTAAAATGAATTTGCTTCATGTTTTGCTGGTGTCTTTGCTGACGAACCTACCATCTCACGTGAGGGTCCTATAAATCTAGATTTATTAGAAGACATTCGCTTTGGCCAAGAGGACGTGAAAAAAACTCTTTCTGAGTTAAAAGAATGTTCTGCTCCCGGACCTGATGGAATTTCCAGTAAAATCTTAAAAGGGTGTGTATATTATTTTGAGAAAATCTTTGGACTCTGCCACACTCCCGACCCAGTGGTTATCCGCAAATGTAACACCGATTTATAAAAAAGGTGATAATCTCGATGTTTCAAATTACCGCCCTATCAGCCTAGTATTATGTGTAAAGTTCTTGAACGCCTTATAGTAAATCAGCTGTTACCGTTTTTGATCGACTTTAAAATGCTTGAATCATTAGACATTATCTCTTGACTCGGGTGATTCGTTGAATATTCTTTACCTCGACTTCAGCAAAGCTTTCGACAAAGTGCCACATCGACGCTTGTTATCCAAATTTGAAAAGGTCGGAGTGGGGGGTAAACTGCTAGAGTGGATAGCGACGTTCTAAAGACACCGGTCGTTCAGAGTTCGAGTAACGCTTATTCACTGCCACAAAACGTGCCTGGTGGTGTTCCCCAGGGATCGGTGCTGGGACCCGTGCTATTCTTAGTTTACACCGTGGATTTGCTCTCCAGCATTGATTCTCATGTGAGCGCTTATGCTGATGACACTAAATTATTTGAAAAAAAAAGTGGTGTTCAACGTGGCTATTGAAGTTGAATGCTCAAAAGTGCTCTGTGCTCATGTTGGCAAGAACAATCCCGGTTTGAACTGTTATATCAATGGAAACTTTGTGTCAAGTGTCGATTCTCAGATGGACCTAGGTGTGACAGTAACTAATGATCTTGCGTGGTCTGCACATGTATCAAATATTGCAAAGAAAGCAAACTGCTCGTTATTTTTGTTAAAAAAGACTTTTAAAAATCCTAGTCCTCGCATCGTTTGCAGGCTTTTAACCACTTACATTCGCCCCATCCTGGAATTTGCTTCCCCAGTCTGGAACATATGACTATGTTCTGTGATGTTCTGGAAAGAGTGCAACTTAGACATACACCTTACGATGACCGTCTCAAAACAATTAGTCTGGCAACTTTAAGTCAGCGTCGGCTGTGAGGGGATCTCATTCAAATGTATAGGTTTGCGCATGACCAATTTCCATCTGACGTGCCCTTTGAGATCTTAAGCAATGATGAACGCCTACGTGGTCATCAATTTAAAAAAGGAAAGGTTTGCGCATGACCAATTTCCATCTGACGTGCCCTTTGTGAACTTAAGCAATGATGAACGCCTACGTGGTCATCAATTTAAAACAAGAAAGGAACAATTCAGGACTTCACATCGCCTGTATTTTGCAAGTGACAGGAGTTTCGATTATTGGAACAGTTTACCCCCAGATGTTGTGTGTGCGCCGAACTTGTCTGTATTTAACCGTCGCTTGGACAGTGTATTGTTTCACAGCAATAACTAAATATTTATTAGATGTATAACATTATCATGATACTATCAATGTGCATAATAGGTTCTCCTCTGCATTTTATTCTTTAATTCATATAAATGTATGTATGTATGAATACTTTTTAATGAGCCATCGGATGGTAATACGATGTTCTATAATCAACCCTTCGCGTTTTTCCAAAATACGTTTCAACTAGTCGCCTGAGAGATATAAAATATCTAGATATCGTTTTACTGCGTTGTTTATTGAGTGTTCTTCTAAATGTCTCATTTTCGTATTTTTTTCATATCAAATTCTATCATTGTGATTTGAAGTTTTTAAAATCGACTCGCTGCAACAACTCTAAGCAATAACACAAAAATCATATTCGCCTCAAAAATCTTTATTTGGATTAAATATGCCAGCAATTATTTATTTAGAAAACGCGGAAATGTATCTCCAGTTCATCCTAATCATTTATAACGCTAACTCCTTCCTGTACATGCCCTGCCAGAGTAAAGAATATTGCGTTCCATTTAAATGAATCAAGTTATATTGACTTACAGGTCTTATTAGATTAGAATATGTTTTTGAATACTCCTCATAATTGACACACCCCAGAAGTTAAACTAAACTGATCCGTAATGAAATCCTCCTTCAAAAATTATGTCATGAATATGAAGATTTCAATGCTCTGAATTGGACGTTATTTTCCATCACGTCTAGATTTTTCGATATATATTTTTTTAATAATCACAAATTTAGGTTTTTTTAATTCATTTTACGCGTTAACATCATAAACAGTGTATATAAATACAAAATATTTTTATTTAACTTTAGGAACTTGACGTTTATAGTGAGCTTACTTTATGCAGCGAAATGCGACCTTGTTAATACAGCTTCTATCGTTCGGGGGGATAAAATATGCCGTAATAGTTGCTCAAGAACGTCGAACGTTACAATGACAATGCTTTGGAGAATCATGAAAATGATTGTTATTTCTGCATGATATCAACACGAGGATTCTCGAAAAAGAAAATAAAAATAAGATTATATATCCCAACATCGCATCTGCAAAGAGACAAATTCCTAGTGGCGAAGGCACTTTATATCCAGAACCACCAAAATATAACGAAACGATGGCGAATAAAAATACTTCCGGTTTACAGCTCCCATCGAGTTTCATGTACCTCATTTACTTAAACAATGTGAGTAAATGATGTTATTAAAACAGTGAAATTTGTAGGATAAAAGTACAAGAGTGTCATATTTTCGCCCAAGACAAGAAGATTCCACGAGAACATGATTTAGTATATTGTAATGATGCTGCCAGGCTGCTTCAAGAACTTAATTTTCCAGAAACTTCTGATGAATGGATTTACTCCATAATAACTTTAATTTTGCGACTTACCCCCTTCTGCAACCCCGCCACTCACTGAAACCGCCACCACACGTGAACCAGCATATCGCGCGTCACTCGACGATCTTCTTGATCTTCTCGGTGTTTGGCGTTGTCGATTATGTCGGGCCCCATTATTGCCACTTAACACCTCGAAGGCTCCGCCCTCCCCTCGCGTCGCAACACGCCTCCACCGGCATTGGCGTCGGCGTGATTTTCGACGCCGCGCAGATTGGGGAATCGCGTGCCCTTAAATGGCCCGCACCCCTCTCTCACCGCCCGGGGGTACCGAGGAGGGTGGTTTTTATTTCGGGGAGGCTGGGAATTAACGACAGTTAGAAATCGCAATTCGAGGGAGTATAAAAAAATACTGGGGGAGACAATTTTACGAACGAACCAAGGCATAATACATTAACACGCATAATACGCATAATACGCATTAATTCATTAAGTCGTCGTTACATAATAAAAGAGTTTCAGAAATCTGTCACTAGAGGGCACTTTACCTAGAACTTTTTATTATTTTCCCTGTATTTTATTTATTTAGAGTGATACTGCAAAATAGAAGCAGAATCGTGAATTGTTAGCCACAAATCGACTTTTTTATTTTCGCATTGCATTTCTGTAACGGAAAGGCAAATTTAAATGCAGGCCAGCATTATTAATCTGCAGGCGAGGTGCACTAAATTTTTCCAAAACAGTATGCTACCAATTAAAAAAGTGAAAACCCGTCAATGCAATAAATGTTTAATTTAACATTTTATAAAATAAAAAGTTGTTAATAATCGGAAATTAAACAGTATACAACAACAAAAAATGCTAATAAAATGTAAAATAAAGCAAAAATAATTATATGCCATAAATTATACCTATGACGAAGCGAAGTATTGCATCATTTGAGGGATAGTTATCATCATGCCTGAAGGACAAGAGTTTCAAAAAATTTCATCAAACTCCATATAATATAATATCACCGTATTCCAATTTAGATCTGACAAACAGAATCTTCAATGTTTCTAAATCTGTTAAGTATCGAGAGTTCCGTGCTATAAGCGGAGTCAATATGTGAAATGAAAAAAACTTTAGGGTCAAAAGTCACACCTACATCAACGAAAGCAGCTGGATGCTGATGTCATTGATTTGGTAATCATATCTGATAATATTACCTTTAAGTGAATACGTCATACATTTGATGGGATTTAACGACACGTTATTATGGCATACCAGTTTTCAATGCGCTTTACATTCGGCAGTCCTGAATTCTATCAATTTTGCAGACCGACTTTAGATCGTTAGCGTATACCAAGCAATTAACATCAACATTTTCGACAATGTCATTAATAAAAATATAGAAGGGGGCCTAAATTGCTACCTTGAGGAACACCGGATGTTACGACATATTCTACAGACTTTTAGATAAGATGAGAACACATTCACAAATTGATTAGAAGTAATGATAATCCGTAATTATTTAACTTAGAAATAAGTATCCCATGATCAAGTCAAACACTCCACATTTTGAAGTATTCTTTCTGTTCTTGCCTCGCTTCTTTTATACCCTGGCCTTCCTTTACTCATATTATTAGGTTCGAACGATTCTTTTTCATCAAGTCTTCTGTGTATGTTAATGAATGTCCATGCATTTCCATGTGATCTTCCTTAGCAAAAATGCATATCGTCATATTCAGTATTTGAATATTCCTGATGGGCCGTGACAGCAGCAGTTGGATAATAAGTTCTTTTAATAGAAACCAATTTTTAACGGATTGTGACAATGACTTTTCCAAATTCGAGCCGAGAACAAAAAAGTCGATTTATGGCTAAACCATAACACTTATCGACTTAAAACAAGAGTAACAACTTTGAGGATTCTGTTCTGTCTCTGTTCTATTTTGCAATATCATTCTCAATAAATAAAATGCGGGGAAAAATAAAAAAAATGTTCAAGGTAATTATTACAACCAACAATATGTTTTAATTTAATTTTGCAATTTTTTGAGGAATAAGTCAGCATTCCTGACAAAAAGAATTTCTGTCTTAAGTGTCTCGTAAGGAAGATTGCTAATCGAAACATTAAATATATCGGGTAATTCATAAAGAATGGGTAATTTGTAAACTGGAGGTTTTAATATTATGAAATCCAAACATTTGTATTGAAGTTCTCCCATTATGAATAAAATCAGAAAAAACACCTTAAAGTTTTTAGATGAAAGTAAGAGACCCACCGAGTCAGGAAACTAGAAAATTCTTTCAGGTACAGATAATATGAACGAATGAAACTAAAGTTTATTCAAAAAATTATGCAAAGTGCATATCTTTCCTTAAAATTTTTATATAAATAGACACCTCGGCTATAAGCTACTTCAGAAAATTTTTCAAACAATTGAAGTGTTTCTACTCTTTTTGAAAACGGAACATACTTTATTGTAATTAAGGCAATCAGAATGTTAAGACCTATTAAGAACACGATTATCAATAGTGGCATACACAATCTTTCTATACTTTTAAATTTGATTCTTAAGGCTATTTCAAATCAGTTTTAAACGTGTGATATATCGTTTGCAATCAATACTAATTTAATATATTCCAACGATATATTTTTGAGAGTCACTTGGGCTACATCTGCTTGTGGAACGTTGCTTTCCCATATTTTGATTTTGACGGTATTATTAAAATTCCATCCATCCAGTTCCGTTCAATTTCGATGACATTATTGATTTATGATGATGCAAAGGAAAATGAATGACACTTTAAACAAAGAATAATTAAAACATACCCAGGAAAAGTTCACTCTGAGCGAACTGATTCAGAATCAGAACAAATTATATGGATCTTAAGTAAAAACTTAATGATATGTAGTAATAGAATAATCATTTGTCAAGTTTACTTGTTGGTGGATATATTGGGTTGTTCGGAAAGTCATTTCGTTTTTTTTTGGGGAACATGAAAGACAGTTTTCGTATAATGAATAAATATTTTATTAAATTATATATTGCCCATTCTGGTCCAACACCTTTTGCCATCTTGCTGGCAGTAACATAATTCCCCTCTCATAAAAGTTTTGGTCCTTGCTGGCAAAAAACTGGTTCAGGTGGTTTTTGACATCTTCATTTGAGGTAAAGGTTTTGCCATCCAAAAAATTTTGCAGGGACCGGAACAAATAGTAGTCGGAAGGCGCCAGATCTGGAGAATATGGTGGATGTTGCAGTACGTCCCATTCAAGCTGTAAAACTTTTCCCCGAGTGACCAAACTTGTGTGAGGTCTCGTATTATCCTGGTGGAACACTACACCCTTCCTGTTGATTAATTCGGGCCTCTTCTCTTTAAGTGAATCATTCGATTTGTCCAGTTGATGACAATAGACTTCTGAATTAATCGTTGTATTGTCCGGCAAAAGCTCAAAAAAAACGATTCCTTTGACATCCCACCAAACGGAAAGCATCACCTTTTTTTGGTGAATGTTGGCTTTTGACACGCTTTGAGCCGGTTCATCTTTTCTGCTCCATGACCTCTTGCGTTTAACATTGTTGTATACAACCCATTTTTCGTCCCCAGTAATAATCCGCTTCAAAAATGGATCATTTTCTTGACGTTTGAGGAGCGAATCACACACGTCAACGCGACGACACAAATTTCGCTCCGTAAGGACATGGGGCACCCACACATCGAGCTTCGAGGTTAAGCCCATGCCTTTCAAATGGCCATAAACAGTCGAATTCGACAAATTTAATCTCTCACCGATCTCTCGTGTGGTTATTCTCCGATTTGCATCAACTAATGCCTTTATCGCATCTTTGTCAGCTTCGACCGGCCTTCCAGACCGTGGTGCATCTTCGACATCAAAATTGCCGGATCGAAATTTTGCAAACCAGTTCTGGCACTGGCGTACTGTTAACACGCCTTCTCCATACACATCCGTCTATTTTTTTCTCGCTTGGACAGCATTTTTACCTTTTCTGAAGTAAAAAACTAAATATGACGAAAATGCTGCTTATTGCTGTCCATATTTAAAAGGGCACCAACCAAAAACTACTGCGTAGAATTAATAGAACTTTTTCACACACAAGCCTTGCAATATCAGCTCTCAAGACATATAATGGTTATGCGGCTTAAGTGTGAAGTTGGTTTCGAAAAAACGTAATTAAGTCCTCTGACGGGAAAAAACGAAATGACTTTCCGAACAACCTTATAAAATATCGACTGCTGAACCATTATTTTATTTTATTTGTATATTCATTGTAGAATCTAGAATCACTTCAGGTACCACTGCACACTTATAGCCTTTTCTTGCTTGTTACTAGCAGTTTTTGCATTTGAGACCGTGATCGAATATGGGCAAGCTGTTGATGCGTTTGTAAAAATAATTCGCAATTTTGATCTGTCTAATATCTAATATCCATTTGGTAGAGTTTTTTGTAAGATAAATCAGCGGTTCATTAGAAGAATCCACTTTTGGGTAATTTCAATCCCAAGAGACCGTATGTGAGATACACATACACATACGATTAGATAAAATCTACAATAATTATAGGTACAACAACGTAATATATAACATATTAAAACAAACAGAAATAAAAATGACAAAAAGGGAGATACCGAACACAACCAAACGGTGGCCAAACATCAAGAATCGTATAACCAGGTATTATTTTTTATCTTTTGTCTGTATTCCTCTACAGTGGTTGAACCAATGCACTGTACGAAATGTTTAGGAGTTTAATATCACAAAATTGCCATTCACTTTTGAATAATGTGAGAACGGATCTCAATTTGATGAATTGAAATATATATTTACCATTTTGATCTTGTGATCTGAGTTAATAGCAAGAAAATATCTTTCTCTTGCGTGGCAAAATTCATTTGGCTAAGCTACAGTTAGAGTTACCCTTTTGATATCCATTTACGTCAGTGTATTATTTTTATGACCCTTCTTGGTAAATAGATATCCATGTATAAACTTTTCCCACCGGATTTTTCGGCAGTTATGCGTAAGGAATACAGTCCTGTGCTCCGTTCGTAAGCCGCTTCCGCCCCCGGAGCGCTGCGGGGTGGCGGTGCCGCCACCCGTACCT